CCAAGCAAACTGAGCCCAGGGCTATCTGTGTCCTGGCAACCAATGATGCTGTGTTCACAAGTCAACCAATCACACTGTGTGGGCTGCTCAGACGAACACTGGATGAACAGTTCCACAGATGGAATTTTGCCTTATTTATATATTTTCCAGTTAAGAAAAAGCCAGGTCTCCTTATCTTTAACAATCTTCTGGCTATTTAGCATGAATAGGCATAAAAGTCTGTAAATTTAAACCACTGCTTAAGACCCCCACCACACTTTAGCCCCCCATTAGCAAACTGCACACATTGCCCAGCTGGGCAGTGACTGGGTATCCATATGAAAAGGAGAGCAGTTGAGGTGCTGGTTAATTCAGTACATGTGCCCTGTAGCCCCATAAGTTAATTGGTTTCTGTCTATCCTTTCACTTACATCTGTAAATTATACACATTCCATTCTTTGGTGAAGCAGCCTTCATGCTTATGTGTATAAAATATTTATTATTTGTAGCTCCAGTAGTATTTTATAATATAAAAAGTGTCCAGATGTTTTAACTTTTGTTTTCAGCACGCATTTCTATATCATTTTACACAAAGATACTTTATTAACAAAATATTGAAACTTACAAAAGAAAAATACATGTTGTTATACTGTATAAATAAAGTACAATTGACATTTTTGAATTCATCTCATGAAAGCCAAAGCATAATGGTTATCACATGAAATATTTGGTTTAGCTTTGGTTAAATGTACTGTCACACCTAAGTCTTTGTAACTTCTTCTGTTCCCAGGAAGCACCCCTAAGGAGGTATGGGCTTTACTACATAAACACTACTTGCAAGCCTCAGAGTTGCTCCAGGGATGACATTGTGCATCTGCTGTAATGCCACTTTTAAGGTCATCAGAGAAACACACTGGCATTGCCTCCAGCAGCTTCCTAAAAGCACACATGAAATAAAACATTGTAAATATATAAAACGGTGGGAGGCAACCTATAGGACACAGTCAAAAAAGCATTGCTACCATGCTAATGTCAAAATGTCCAGTTATGTTACCTTAATTTTAGATCATCTACCTTTTGCCAGACTGACAATTGTTTTCAGCAGGACTCTGAATTAGCCTATAGCAGGGGTAGGCAATCTCCGGCCCTCAAGCTGTGGTACAACTACATATCTCATTAGATATTGCAAGATTCCGACAGCCAGAGGCATGACTCCCAGAGGCAGATGCAGGACAGGATTTGTAGTTTCACCACAACTGGATGGCTAGAGTTTGCCTACCCCTGGCCTATCGTCTCATGCTACTTATACTTTGTTCCCCAGGACACTAGAGGAGAGAACTTTTTTTTTCTCCTGAATGATCATCATCACTTTGTGAATTTAGGTTGAATCAAGGCCCAGGGTGTGCATAATTATAGTGCAAAGAGACCCAAATAGTTGGAGTCTAGATCTCCTGGCCTACAGAATCACAAGCTCAGAATTGAGGGTTGCTAGCCATCACAAGATTTGACACAGTGGGATAGCCTGCTGTACTCAAGACACTTTCACAGTTAAAATCAAAATCCCTGAGTAGGTTGACTGTATGTCTTGTAAAAATTATGCACAATGATTCTTTTGCGTTTGACTGGAATGCATATTTATTATGCGTAACAGTCATCCTTCATAGCTTCAGGTCCTCCCCTTCATAACAGCTTATTTATTCTTTAGCACCACTATTTAATTGAAGACTCATTCACATTTTGGTGTTGTGTCTGTATCCTGCTTATGTCATGTGCAGTTTATAATACAAAATCTTGTAACAGGGTACATTAGTGGATCTAATACAGGCTACTCCTTTCAATGAAGGAACTAACTTATGGAACTGTGGAATATTGATATTCCCACTACAGGGTTCTTCTGCCCCTCATGCACCACAATCATTACATATATTCCTTTTCAGGCAATATCACAAATGCTCACTATACCTAAGCTGGAATACAATATAGTAGTAGCGCTTCAGGTGGGTCCATACTCATGCTTGCCCACACTTATAGAACACTGCAAAAACTCCTATGCATTTCACATTAAACAGTGCTTACTCATAGAGCTTGTACTAGAGTGCTTGTACCCAAGTGGGAGCCTGCTTTCACTTCTTGCCTATATAAAGCACATTTAACCTGTGCATTCTTCAAGATAACATACATCGCCTTGAGGCAGCACTCAGCATTAAGGGTGATGCCTGCACAGTTCAGCTGAGGGGGGCCTGTAGCCCCCAGATTGCTGAAAGTGAAAGATTTTGCTTGGGGCCACAAAAACCTAGATCCATTACTAGTTCACTAAAGTGTACTGCACTCGTAGCCTAACCCTACTAAAGTGATAAAGAAAACTGTGTTCTAATTGTGTATACACTCTTAACTCAAGCAAAGCATTTTATGCAAAGATAAAAGTTTAAAAACACTCACATGCTGCAGTGCTAAACATAAGCTGGGCTCCTCCTGGCAACGTCATAATATCAGCAAGCCCCTCCCACTCTACATGCCTTTCATCTGAATCAACTTCCTCAGGGGTGGCGTCATTAGTGCTGTATAGCACTGCAGCATGTGAGTGATTTGAAACTGTTTCATCTTTCAATACATTGCTTAGTTAGTTTTACCCTATGGGAGCCTCTTCCTCCTCATTTGTTAACTTTGTCTGAGACTGGATGTGGCAAGTTGAAGGGGAGTGAGTCATATACGAGGAACAGTGAGGACTGTTATTAACAAGAGCAATTGACCATACCTATTTATTGGGGGGTCAAAAAAATCCAGTGAGTAAGCATACCACAGGAGTATAGGGCTGCAACAACTAATCGACATTATCGATTATAATCGATTATTGAAAAAGTTGTCAACTTTTTCAATAATCGGTTAATCGGCTTCTGATTGGTCGGCCCTGTTCACGGCTCCGCACACGCTGTGCGCCACATTTCTTATCCGATTAATCGAACTTAATAATCGGCTAACTAATCGATTTTGAAAATAATCGTTAGCTGCAGCTCTACAGGAGTAGCACTAGAAGTGCATCACACGTGTTGTTTGGAGCACAAATGTAACACTTTTATCTAAGATGAGCATGTGGGATGTAGTGTTTTTTACCCTGTTAGATTTTCTGGCTCTTGCAAATACCAGTCAATGAAGAAGGTTATGGAACAATAGACCTATGGAAATATTGACTATAGTGGAAGTGTTTTTTTACGTGGTAATATTGAATGCATTATCTGTTCTATTTATAAATGATATAGAGCTAGGAAAAAATAGCTCAGTCTCAGTGTTTGCTAAGGGCCCATTCACACCAATTGCGGTGTGTTCCCGAGCAGCAGCTGCTGGAACGCACAGCAATCCCTCACAAAACTTCCACCTTCATTCTGGGGCGGAAGGGGGCATGACGGGGCATTGAAGTCAATGGCCCCCTCAGCCACGCCCCCCGCCAGCAGTTCGATGGGACGCGTGGCAAAACATTGCCTGCGTTCTGATCCACTGCAAACGTAAAAAATAGAGCATGCAGCATTTTTTTGCATTTGCAGTGGACCGGAACGCAGGCAATGTTTTGCCACGCGTCCAATCACATTAAAGGCAGGTGGGGGGCGTGGCTGCGGTGCCATTGACTTCAATGAACTGCCACACCCCCTCTCCAGAACGAAGGTTTTTGAGCGATTGATGTGCATTCCAGGAGCTGCCACTCTGGAACGCACCCCAATTGGTGTGAATGGGCCCTAATGATATGAAGTTATGTAGGGCAAATAAGTTTGCAATAAGATATAGAATCACTGCAGCAAGACCTTGATACAATTGAGGCGTGGGCAGCAATGTGGCAGATGAGTTTCAATATAGAAAAATGTAAAGTTATGTACTTGGGAGATAAGAACATGCATGCAGAATACAGTTTGGGATGTGCTCTGCTGGGGAAATTAGATATGGAGGAAGATCTAGGGGTTCTTACAGACCACAGACTCAGCAATTGTATGCACTGCCAAGCTGCAGCTAACAAAGCAAGTAGAATAGTAACTTGTATTAAAAGAGGGATTTTTTTTCAAGGGATAGAAATATAATTCTGCCACTTTATAAAACACTGGTTCAGCCACATCTTGAGTACGTGGCTCGGTATGGTCACCAATCCTCAGGAGGTACGTACTTGAACGAGACAAAGTTTAGAGCAGGGCCACTAAATTAATAAGGGGGATGGAGGGCCTGAGTTATGAAGACAGACAACAAAATTAAACTTGTTCTCCTTAGAGAAGAGACGCTTACGAGGAGACATGACTAGAACTTACAAACTTATCAATAGGGACTGCAGAATAAGGAATAAACTATTTAAACTATAAACTCTGAGGAAGACACGAGGGCACAACAAGAAGTTGGACGAGATGCGGTATAATCTCAGACCATGCTAAAGGTTTTTTTACTGTCAAAGCAGTAAAAATGTGGAATTCCCTTCCGCAGTTAGCTGTATCAGCAGAAAGCACTGAGAGCTTCAAAACACACTTCGATGAGTTCCTCAATTTACAGAATATACAAGGTTATGTACACACACACACACACACACACACACATGTATGGGTTGAACTAAATGGACTTAAATGCCTTTATTTAACCTAACCTACTATGTACTGATGTTATAATTCACTATTTTGTTTCTCACATGGTATGTATATTTACATTTGTATGAGTTAATGGTATAAAGTATACATAATTACATAATACATAATAAGTAGAACACAATTTTATTTGGTACTTTATTACAGGAAGGGTTAGATTATCAGCGCAGCGCACTATAGAAATGATAGACCATTATACAGGCAACATCGGTAGCACTGTGACCTGTGCCCCAAATACATACTGTACATACATGTATTTAAATAGTGCATATTTGCAGCATTTGGTAAGGCATATATCGTGTGCTCTAGCATAATGAAATATATTTGGTCTAGGACACTTTACTGTAATACAGAACATTTTCTAGCATTTTAATTAATTGTATATAATGAATTAAAAATATGGCTTTCATGTTAGTATTTTAGTCAAACAAAAGTATCGCACTGTAGAATCGATTGCCTTGTAATACTGCTATAGTCTGTAGTGAGTACAGCTGACACCACTGCACTGTATTACACATTCTCTTTTGTTCTGTTGTTTACATTTGAATCTTCCATCTCTTTATTAAGATGTAAGTTGTTCAGCTGCAAAAAATATAATGGATATTAAATAATTGATTTAACAAAGCTAGCAATAATATGTGTGAGAATATATTGTCAAAGTCAAATAGATATGACATAGTAATCAATATGCATATGCTTGACAGGCCATCCAAATACTTTTTTCAAAGCACTGCTGTCTTATGCCACTATAGACTCAAGTAGCTATAGGGATCTAGAGATTACTAAAACAGACAAGGTGCACCAATCCTATAATAGAAATCTGTACTGAGGAAAATTAATATTTAGCTGCTATTTCCAGCTCCTTGTCTGGTAGTCTCTGGCTTTAAGGGCCCATTCTGACTTGTGCATTGCTGCAACAAACACTGGTGCATTAATTTGCATGCATTAATGCACTGCAACTGAATGCATAAGCGTGAATCCGCCCCAAAACTTTCTAAAATAAAAAGAGATCAGAATCAAGCATGTGGCATCTGAAGTCAGAACTCCTCATACTTACATAGTATTTGAGGTTGAATAAAGACACAGGTCCATCAAGTTCAACCCTTGTGTGTCTGTGTGTGATTGTGCATGTGTATGTGTGTATATGAGTCCCTGTGTGACCTTGTTTTTAAGTGTACCTGTACCCCTGTATGTTGTGGTCTCTGAGGAAGGTATCTAAATGCTTTTTGAATGATTCAATAGTCTCAGCTGATACCACTTCTTGTGGCAGCAAGTTCCAGACTTGAATCGCTCCAACTGAAAAAAAGCCCTTACTTCCCTTGTGGTTAAATCTTTTCTCCACCAATTTTAGGTGGTGGCCTCTAGTCTTTGTTACGGAGTTTACTGTAAAACGTTTATTGCTGATGTTGCCATCTCCACTAAACATTTTGTACAACAAAATCATGTCCCCTCTTAATCTCCTCACTTCCAGTGTGAACAAGTTTACATTTAGTAACCTTGTCTCATAGCTTAGGTCCTCCAGCCCCTTAGTTAGTTTAGTTGCCCTTCTCTGGACTCTCTCCAGCTCAAGGACATCCCTTCTGTGGATTGGTGGCATCTTTACTTGCTCTGGGTCATTGGCATGACAGCTAGGCAACTAACATATTCAGGAGTAAATGTTATCAACTGCAACCTGCATCTTTCTGTGTAGGTTTATTTTCTGTACTAGATGGAAAAAGCATGTCCAAGTCTTGTTGGTGAGGAGGGTGAGCTGGTAGCATAGCTTGCTAGGTCAGGCGATACATCAGTTAACCAACCTGACTGCTGTTGTCAGAAAACATTGATGGTATTGTGTTTTTGGAATCTATGCAATTTAATCTACACAGTTCATGAAATGCATTTAGTGAACACATTTGCATGAGGTGTGCATATCTACATCTACTAACTAGTAACTAAACGACATTCAATGGATGGGTTGGATTGTAGTGGAATGGATTCAACTGAGCTGAATATGACTCATGTCTCTGAGACTCATGTTTCTATGCACGGTTTTTAATGTATTGTGTTAATTTCATGGTCTATTGCCTGGTTTTATTTACTTGAAAAGGCTAATGTTTTTTGGTGGTTTAAACCAGTGGAAAAATTAACCAGAGGCAGAGATTAAAGGGAATATCCCAGGAATTAAATACATGAGTGGCCATTTCTGATTCGTTTATAAGGCCCAGGTCAGTGTGATCCTGACTTCACTTCCAAGTGAATGATTGAACTGAAACAAGCATATGTAAAGGTCATACTTGCTCTTGATGAGAGATTTGCCAGGTAATTAAGGGAGAGTAAGAATGACATCACCAGAGTGTGTGTTTAAAAAAAAACAAAAAAAAAAAACAAGACAGCAATGCCAAATACCGGATTAATAGTATGACACATTTATTTTTATTTTCTAACTGTACTAACCTCATACCATCCAATGTGCTGTAGATCTGGCACTCCTTTGTGCACAACTCATCTATCAAACGAGGACAAACCTTTCAAAGCTGTGAGCAAAGAAGTGCCAGGGCTAGGATGCGCCTGTCACGTATGAGACTTAAATATGTACAAATCATATAAATCAAACCTACATATCAGAGGGGCTTTCACACACCTGAGATTTGCTACCAATAATACGCACATAGAGAGAATCTTTCCTAGAAATGGAAACCATATATCCACTGAACTCCAGTGAACAGTAACTTGCTTTTCTCCCAAATAAATGGATCGAGTGTTACTAGGAAGTGCTTTGTGATGCAAGACGCTTGATGTAAAATTCACAGTTTATTTTCAAGTGGTCCATTTTGTTATCAAAACAGAACCTTTTTGATGCTGACCTCAGATGTCTCCTACTCTGTCTGCCTTTAGGTGATCCCTGAAAACTCATTTAATCAAGAAGCCTATCTGCCTCTGTCCACTTTTACGTGATCCCTAAAACTCATCTCATCAAGAAGCCCATCCATCTCATCAATAAGCCTATCCGCCTCTCTCCACCTTTAGGTGATCCCTGAAAACTCATCTCATCAAGAAGCCTATCCGCCTTTCTCCACCTTTAGGTAATCCCTGAAAACTCATCTCATCAAGAAGCCCATCCACCTCATCAAGACGCCTATCCCCCTCTCTCCACCTTTAGGTGATCCATGAAAACTCATCTCATCAAGAAGCCTATCGGCCTCCCTCCTCCTTTTGGTGATCCCTGTTATTGCCTTTTGTATCACTTGCCTCTCCATTTAAGATTGTAAGCCCTCACAAGTAGGCTATCAAATTGTATTGTAACTGTGCTGCCTCCCTCTTGTATTGTAATGTGTTATACAAACTGTTGGCACTATATACATTCTGTATAATAATAACAACATCTTAAATATGTGCCATGACCTCCACTGTGGTAAACATGGGCCCACTGAAAACAGTAGCAGCAGCAATAACCTAGGAACAAGGGGAGCTGAGGACCAAGAAAATGAGTCAGCGATGAAAAGCAGCTAAAACAGGGAAGGAAACAGCACGTTGAAGTGTGCTGTTTTTACTTGATGCAAAGTTAACATCTCTGATAAAGTGGGTTTATCTAACAAACCAGAGACATGAATAATGTTAATGTACAAAGTACAGTAATACATTGGACCACAGGAAACTGAAAATTGGTTGCTATCAGTTTTGTTGAGGAACAAAATTCTATCTAGTGCACATATATATAAAATGCAAGAAAGTTTGCAGATGTAACGGACATATAGTATGTCATGAATCATGCCAAAATAACAACTAACACATAAAAGAGTTGAAAAGAGGAACAGATTACCAATCTTGACTCACCAGCTCTTATTATATCATTATAAACGAAACATAGAATTTCTTCTTGAGGTTTGGTACCATCTATAAAAACTAAAACAGAAACAAATACAATAAAATAGCAGAATATATATTACAGTTATATATGCTATATTTTTTAAAGATTTGGGACTTAAAGTGAACCTTGTGCCCAGATGCTGCACACTAATTATTTACATACAGGTGAAACTCAAATAATTAGAATATCGTGCAAAGTTCATTTATTTCACTAATGCAACTTAAAAGGTGAAACTAATATATGAGATAGACTCATTACATGCAAAGCAAGATAGTTCAAGCCGTGATTTGTCATCATTGTGATAATTATGGCTTACAGCTCATGAAAACCCCAAGAACCCCAAATCCACAACCTCAAAAAAGTAGAATATTACATGCAATCAATAAAACAAGGATTGTGCATAGAACAATATCGGACCTCTGAAAAGTACAAGCATGCATATATACTCAGTACTTGGTTTGGGCCCCTTTTGCAGCACTTACTGCAATTACTTTTGCACGATATTCTAATTATTCGAGTTTCACCTGTATTCTGAACAAGCAGTAAAAGCACTTTCAAACCAGCTCACATTCACCTGTATCTATAAGCATAGTTAAGAAATTCATTTTCAAATTTTATAAGATAGTTACTGTGTTTTTCTATGAGAACAGATCTTGGCAGGCTGCCAGCCTTCCATTGTAAACAATCAGCAGATGTTTCTAAGGGCTCATGCACACGGGCCTACAATATTCTGCATTCCGATCCGTAATGTAATGGCTCTGAATGCAGCATCCTTGTATTCTATAGGCTCATGTATTCTATAGGCTCAAGTTGCGTATACCAAGAATGGAAAAAAATCCTTGTTCGAGGACCTGAGTATGGCGCGATTGTATGCATGGAAATGTTTGTGCTAAACGTATTCACAAATGTACTCTATTGGAGCTGCCTTCCTCCTAGCAACCAAAAACACTAGGTGGCAAAGGCCCATCAATGGTGTGTAATCAACAGTACAAAACAAAAAGAATCCCCAGCACACCTGCCAGCTAGCCTGCAACAAAACAAAATACCCTGTCTAACAGTATACATTAAAAGCAGAGTTTTTAGTTGCACAAACCTTTGGCCAAAAATATGTAGAAGCCACACTGTCACCATCAAGGCACCTCTGTAAAGTGTCGTCCTAACTCTATTTATACGAGTCTCCTAGTGGGAGCATATTGATGCAGTTGATAAATTGAATGCAGGTGTACCAGTAGGTAGCCTACTCCTCCTCACAAGGTGCAGGGACGCCTTTTGAGGAGGAGTAGGCTACCTCCTGGTACAAGCATTCATGGGACCTAAGGTGTTAGAAACTGACTGAAACGGACTCTATAGTTTTGTTGTGATCTTTGAGTTTCTTTGAGAATGAATAGCTACACATTAAAAGCAGCTAGAGATGGAAGGCTTGTTTTAAAGCACTTTTACTGCTAATTAAGACTATACATATCATTTTAAGTCCATAGTCTGGGCACAGGGGCACTTTAGGATGCATACAATGTAAGAAAGTGAATTGGTTAATAGGATATTTTTCCCCCATTGGGGAAATTCCCCTACACTTCCTGTCTCATAGATCCAAAAGGGAAGTAAGCAGAAATCTCTCAAAAAGACAGAGAAATCCTTTACAAACAGTTATTATTATAACAAGTGGCCCCATTGGAAGACTTTCCATCTATTCTATTGTCATTTTTGGATTTCCACCCAAAAGGTGACAGTCTTGAGCCTGGCTACTAGAATAAATGGAAAAGGTGACATGTATACAAATAAAAACCTGACAGGGGTTTGACCACTCACACTATCCAAAACTAAAAAAAATAAATCACTTTTTCATACACTTTAAAAAATATATTTTTCTCTACACAGGGAACTAATATTGCGCAATTCTTCTCATAAAACAGCTATGTACCTATATCGTTTTGAACTTTGTCCATTTCTGTCTTGTGCTTTATGTACATAGGCCACACATAACCATCGAAATATCCTGGAGGATCAGGAGGATGATAAACCCGTGTACTGTGTAAGGAACATTTTCTCTGTTATTTTTACAGAAGAGGAAAGCAATGACAAAACATAAACCATATACCATATTGTACATTTATAACCAGTGAGAAAAACATACTTGTGTCAATTAGAACATAAACACAAACAAACATACATACATTCAATTAGAACATACAAAACATGCTGTTTTTTTACCAACTTCCTTAAAGAGGAACTTTACTCTTATCTTTGAAATTACAACAAAGACGTCTTTAGAAATGACAGATGCTTCTAGATAATTGCCGGCTTCTTATTCTTTGGATACCTTATTTTTCTTTTCCTCCGCATTCTTCTCACAGTGGAAATGTTTACTAAGGGCAGATTAATATATCTCCCTTTACTACCTGGAACTCCGGCACATGTGACTGGGACATGTGACCATGCACATCATCTCAGGGGAGGAGAATGCCTTTCCCTGAGATCTCACGAGATTTTGAAGTTTACAAATGACATTTCACACCAGTGCAATGTGATGTAACCTTCCCAGGATGCATCTCCTAGCCACATTACATCTCTAATGCCCAAGAGGACCAGGAAGTTGGAAAACACTATTTGTAAGTAAAAGAAAAAATAGGTTTCTTTAACTAATGAATGCAATATGATCTCATATGAGCATGCAGAGCTGAGTGCTGATGTGATTTTTAGTGAAAGGAGGTAAAGGTCCGCTTTAAACAGACACTGCCTCCATGCCAGTATAGGGCAATGTGACAGTGTCTTTGCAGATCTTCCCAGAGAGAAGGTGACCTTCTCCCTGTCGGAGTGCTCGTGCCTAGCAGTCAATCTTTAGACCTGAGCACTGTCACATGACCCAGGAAGTGACTTCACTGCTCCCCAAGTCACCGACACTGTTGATTTCAGAAGGAGCAGCAACGGGAAGGGAGTATGATGGAGTTTGAGAGACACCTTTGGGGAGACACTGTCACTTTACCCTGCATGTGACAGCTTTAGCAAATGTTTTATCAGCCCTAGCTACAAACCTGTGTACACGAATCATCAATGCATCATCATCCATGTGCATCATCTATGTATTCTGTACTGTGGATCATTATTAATGTCTGTCCATTTAAAAGTTGCATTTAAGTAACAGGAGTCTGGTGGGCTCAGTCACCTATTGGCTTCATATATCTAGTGGAAACTCCACTAGTTATAGTTACTAACAGTGCTCAAACCCAGCTTGGAGTCTCACTACACTAGCTACACAATAAGGATGTCCTGCATACTTGTGTTGAATTTCCATAATATGGGATCCCTTGCAATTGCCAAGGCAGTTATTCAAACCTGGAACGTCATGTGCAAAGAGATCACCACTACAGTAAGGGCCTGTGTCGATGGATTTGGTTTGTTTCAAACGGGGTTTGCACTCTTATACTATGTCTATGGGGGTGCAAAATCTGCTTGAAGCAAGTCAAATGCAGGTCAGAGGGAGGTTAGCTGCAGGTCAAATGCACCGGAATTCCAAATTATCTCAGAAGTGTCTTAAACTTATGTCAAACTGATGCCATTGACAGAAACCCAAAGTACGGGTTAACACAGGTCAGAGGGGATGGACCTTGGGCGGGAACTCTTTATGAAGTACATTGAATCTATTAGGAATGACAGGAAAAGCACACTATTCATTTAGAGTTTCCATTAAGTAATAAATCTAGGTGTGCATTTCTATTGGTCTAAACCTGCTTCCAATTTGTACTACAGCCATGTATTTAGCAGGGAGCAACAAGTTCTTGTATGTGCATTTGATTTAAAGGAGAACTATGAGGTGAGTGCTTTTCACTCATCCTCATAGTTCTAGCCGACCTGTGACAATGAGACTGTCACAGGTCGGCTCAGTAGATCGGGAGGTGAGCGAACACATACCGGCGTTCGCTCACCTCTCGATCCTGTCACGGCTCTCTACCGTGACAGGGGAGGGGCTGGATTCCCCCCTCCTCGCTCCGATCCGCCAGCGCTGACTGGCGGAACGGACGGGGGCAGCTGGCTCTGCCTTTAGATAGGCTGAGTCAGCTGTCAGTCACGCAGCTGGGCGGATCCCGGCACAATTGTCGGGATCCGCTTCAGCTGCGGCGTCTCAGTATACCGCGAGCTACAGCTCGCGGTATACTGAGCCTAGGGTGACCGGTGGACGCTAGTTTGTGTCCTCCCGTTACCCTAAGGAGAACTATGGGAAAAAGACTTAACCCCATAGTTCTCCTTTAATATAAACTCTGAATAATCATTTTATGTAACTACATACCTCCTTCGCCTTTTACATTCTTCAAAGGGAACAGTTACAAAATATCTTCTATCGAATAAGTTGTCCAATGGCCTGGAAAGAGACACTGCATTATTGAACATAAACAACATCCGTCCTACAGCTACATTCAAGTCATTATATATATATATATTTATTTATTCAATAAAAAAACAATTTCAAAGCATAGCATACTTTCAGTATATGGCCCTCCCGGCGCCACAAAAGTTTGAAAGAACCAGAATCGGGTATACTGACATCAGCAGGTGGTGGCTGTCAGAATAAAATAACAGCAGCAGGAGATTCATCCATGCTATTTAGCGTGGATGAAGGAATCTGTAAAAATGTTTTCATTCAGTCTAATAATGTATGCCCATCTTTAAACGAAAAAAAAAAAATTAATGGAGTTGGCCATTACCTGCAGATCTTAAAATCAACCTTCCAAAATACACAAAAAAATTGTAAGAGCAGTGCCTGCTGTCCCTGATTGACTGCTACAACAGAAAAACTGCATTTTGTCACCAAAGTTTAATAAGTGCTGCAAGACAAAGCAGAGATTTCGGGAGTGTTTTTGACATATTACAGGTATTTATAGCGCCAACAGTTTACACAGTGGCTTACATACTGCAAATTCACATCAGTCCCTGCCCTCAAGGAGCTTACAATCTGAGGGCCCTATTGCACATACACACAGGACCAATTTAGATAGGAGCCAACCTTCCAGCATGTCTTTAAAGTGTGGGATGAAACCGGAGTACCCGGAGAAAAGCCACGCAAGCGCAGGCAAAAACATGCAAACTCCATGCAGATAGTGTCCTAGCCAGGATTCGAACCAGGGACCCCCAGTGCTGCAAGGCAGACATGAGACTATTTCATACTTACTCATAATGGTACAGGAGGAAACCTTCAACTATTAAAATGTGCACCATGTTTTCACATCTCTCTTGCATTCTATTTGATTTCTCTTCTGAGCAGGCACTTTTGTTATACTGAGACATCCAAGACTGCACAGCTGACATCATTCTTTCCATTTCCAAGGCCTCAAGTTCTAAGAGACGTAATATAAGAGACATGTACATGAGCCAATCATTGTATACAAGCAAAACACAATCAAGCTGTAACTGTGTAATAGATCAAATATTCATCAGTATAGGGTTAAAGCTGTCACTGAAAACAATAGCACGTTTTTTTTTCTTACCAATATTTAGGGAAATGATAGTGCTATTTAAATTAGTATTGTTTTTCTTCTCAAATCCCAACATGCCTCAGTCTCTGGGAGTCATGCCTGTGGCTGTCGGTCATGCAATGCCTCATGGGACTTGTAGTTCCACAACAGCTGGGGGGGCCGGATTTGCCTACCTCTGTCTTACACAGATCTCAGCGGTCATACACTGCTCAAACTTTGATTGATTCAATTAGAGGTATGAGTGGCCCTGATGAAAGCACCCGGCGTGGCAAAAGCAGATTTTTGTGGAAGGAGCCGGATAGAAAATTGTCAGGCGAACAGTGACTATATCCAATCAGGAGCAGTGACACTTCAGGTAGTCAACCGGCTGCGGCTCCCACCACCTGTCGGAATACAAGATCCCTTAAAGGGTCAATGGGAGTCGGCAGCAAGAGGTTAATCTCTTACTACTGAGAGACTGTTAGCAGTAAGCTTACAATATTTGCAGCACACTGATATTAATGTGCTGCTATTGAGAATTCTGTCAGCAAATGAATCCCAGTTATTGTGGGAAGCTTTAATTTAGTCACAGCTTTTTTTTTTTTTCACCTTAGAGGATGAATGCACTAAAACTAGAGGATGAATGCACTAAAACGTCACACTTGTTCCTAGATCTGGCCACAATACCTTACCTAGAGCTTTATATTTATGTGACATGGCCATATGAGGGCCACTCATGCAAATGGTTACATTAATGGATCAACCCCATTTTTAGTCTTGCCTCTGGAGTAAATATGACCTCCAAGCAGATGAAAAAACCCACAAATTAATGTAGCTATTAATAAATAATTGAATATATTTTTTACATGCAACTAGCATAAGTACCTGAGTTTGACTTGTTGGCACCCTACTGCAATCCCCTATACAGCAGAACACAGACTGAGAGAGGGAGGGGTAAAGCATAGAGTCAGCAAGGTATGCTGCATGCAGACATGCTCACAGGAGTAGAGAGCAAAGTCAGCATAAAGCTGGCCATACACCTATAGATTATCTGCAGATTTTTTATGGTCAGATGGAAAAAGTGCAACAGATTCCTCCATCCTGCTGGGCCAAGCTTCAGTATCTTGCTAGTCGCCCCCGCTGGCTCTCAAAATACCTGAACAATGCCTTCATCCAATCAGATTGTTCAGGTATTTTGACAGCCAGCGGGGCCGACTAGCAAGAAGCTTGGCCAAGTGGGGTATTCCTTCATCCACACAGTTTAGCGTAGATGGAGGAATCTGTTGCACTTTTCCCATCTGACCATAGAAAATCTGCAGATAATCTATAGGTGTATGGCCAGCTTTAGAGGTGGCTTGCCCAGTCTCTTGCTGTTCCCTCATCAGCAGACTGGGGTTGGCGAGAGGACACCACTGTATTCTTTCTACAGTCATCCTCGTGGCCATGCTATATGGCAGCTCTCTGTTAATCTCAGTACTGGATGGACAGAAATAGAAATAATTTGGAAGGTAAATCTGCTCCTCTATGTTTTTTATTTGTGTATTTCGCTATTTGCATTAAGGAGCTCTGTCCTAACACAATAATAATCTTAAATCCTAATGAAGTATTAATAAATGCTTACCATCATATTGCTTAAATCCTCTGTCATCTGTTGCAACTTCTTCATCAGGCTACATTATCAAAGAGAGCATTATATAATCAGCAAAGTTGAGTCATACTTATGTCAAATGTCATATTTGATTATCATATGTAGAAAAAGACAGTCAGTTGGTAGGTTGTCACACACCTGTCACATATCATCATAATTCCAATTATCCATTCATAGTTTAGATTCATTACTTAGCTTTTACCAGACAAATGAAAGCTGGCTTCTGATATGCCATGGCATGTCACCTATGCACACATTATAAAACAAAAACCTCGACAATTGTATCTATTCTTAAACAAAACCTCTACTCATAGATATATGGAGTGTTCCCAGCCTATATCTAAAATGCTAATTGTTTGACTGTCTCTGGCTTCAGTATTTTCTGAGCCATTGTCCTGGAATAGGCAAGCAACCAGTAAAGTCGGTTAAGAAGTTAGAATGCCTGCATAATTGTTCAAGATTAGTAGCTCATAAAATACTGAAAGTGATATTAGAACTGTAAATGCCAGGTCCGTATGGCATACTGACCTGGCCAGCTGGAAGCACTTTTGTAGGTCCATATGCCATACGTCCTTGGCAGCGAAAGGGTTAAATCACTTGCAATAGATGCTGTTCCTTGATGTTTAAAAGTTTTAGTTTCCTGCAGAATCAACTGGTCCCCTGAGCACTGGTTATTATATCCTGTTTTAGGGTGGCTCCTTTCCCTTGCAGAGTCCTATGGAGTCACCTTGTGTGTGCTAGTAAGCTGTGTGTGTCTGCACAAACACACAGACACAGCAAGGCAATATATTCCCCTCCCCCCTGCTCACCACTCCTCTTCTTCCCTTCTTGAAACTAGTAGATGGACAGCTGCTCTATCCATTGTGATCTTGTACTGGATAGGAAGTTGGTGGAAGCAAAGCTGTTGCTGCTGTTTTTGTTGACCTAATCAATTATCACACCTTAAATTTCATGAATTTGATGCGTGGTGGTCACAAAGTGTAATATTTGGTGCATTTAGGGAAAACCATTGGACCTTTTAAGAAGGCATTTCTGAAAACATAGAAGTGACTTCAGGTTGGCCCTAGATTTCTATGTGTTAACTATGTGTCTTCTTATTGACTCTCCAAGGCTGACCTGATATCACTAAAAAAGACTAATGATATATTTTCTATACAGCAATGGACATGGACATTTCAGAAATGATATACACACTCCTTCTATATATCATATACCACTGTGAGGATGACGAATAAAAAAAAGCAACGTGAACAGTAATTTGGTAGTTAGGGTACTGCATATATTACTCTTGTCATTTTTAAAGTAACCATTTTTTTAACAAAACTGGGAAAAAAATGAGTAGTACAGTTTGAGCTATGATCTGTCTGTATCTGATTAACCTGTAAGTTTCTGTTTATCTTATATACTTGCATGGTGAGATTATTTTTACAGTGGCAGAAAGATCCTTATCCTTAGAAAAACATCAGATTCTTAAGCGTATATTTGTTAAAGTGACACCAAACTAAGGAGTTGAATTGAAATGTGTGTTTTGCTCATTTTTAAAAATGCTCAGGTGTGAACCAGGTCTTAAAGTAACACAAAACTCAGGAGTTTAACCTTAAAAATACATTCAAGTCACCTAACTATTAACAAAAAATTATCGTATTTGTGTATCACTTGGCTGTAGATCCCCAAATCATCTCTGAATTCATGCTGATACTGTCCTGCCTTCTTGAGGGTGGATACTTTTGTTCCCTATGGTCTCTGTGTGTGTTGTAAAGTAGTCACCGCTCCCGTGATGAACTACAATCTCAATTCAAATGAGTAAACTAAACGTGAGATTATAGTCCATTACAGGGGCGAGCTTTGAACGGTGGCTACTTTACAACACACAAAGGGACCATGGGGAACACTTTGTTTTAAAGAAGTTTTCCTCTTTGTTCTTGTTTAGTCTCTGAGAAAAGAATGTGAAGGAGCATCTCCCCAGTGGGACACGGACCGCAACAAATAAACTGAAAGGGGTTTTAAACAAATTGCTACTCCATCCATTACTAAAGATGCTTTGGCTATCCATTCAAAAACAAAGCTTGTGAATGTTGTTTCATATGCTTAGCACCCACATTTTTCAGGAGACAAATATTGGTGAGATGAACTCCATATGCACTAATCATATGTTAAATCCTAACCATTCTAGATATCCAGCAACATTTTCTACCCACAAAATCTAGCAGTGGTTTATTCATAGTCCAGTTATAGCCATGGTAGGTCCAAAACTACCTGTTCCCTATGACACGCTGCAACCTAAATTCTATTTACAATTCATAAACATTACCCATGATATTTATCTCCTTTTTGCACCTGATACTGACATCATCCCTTTCTAAGTGGACATGTGGAAATATGTGATCCTGATAAGCATTAGCAATTTAAACAAAAGTTTTATAAAGCTAACTAAAAAAAGATCTATGAAAGCAAAAATATGATGTTTACCCAAAACATGTTGACACTTTAAAAACATTTTCCATATATTACACCATTCACATGAGTACCTTGAAGTAGTCATCCTGGCTGATTATGCTGCAGTTAGAAAGGACTTTCAGAAGTTTATTGGCAAGTGTTGTTTTCCCACCATTTGTCACTCTGTTTAAAAAAATGTAACCGCATTGGTTGGTCAGAAATTGAAAAAATATCATACTGTATATTAAAAATGTTCAATTCCAGACAAACTGCAGCAAATAGAGTTTAACAACTATATAAATAAAACATAAGACAACTATATAAATAAAACATAGTAAATAAAAATGGATTTCTTTAAACATTAGCTAAGTAAGGAAAACATAACCGTGAAAAGGAAGACAATATACTTATTGTGTATTAAAAGAGTTTATACACGTTTCATATAGTTACACGTTGCAGAATTTGCCAAAAGGTATTCCGAAAGTACTCAAAATCATTTGACACTTGTCATAAGATAACCAAGATTTTGGAAGGATATGCTAAAGACTGGGTTGTCTAAAGCACTGAGGTTCACAAATCTCATTGCGGTGAACTACCCTGTGGCATATGTAGCACTCTATACACTGTATTGAATCTACTAAATAGGCATAGCCCCTGTCCAATGTCAACTCCTGTGTCCATTTAGGATTCCCATTTTCACTGGCAATCCCTAAGTTAACGGGTGATTTGTGTGTCCTTATATGCAGTGGTCATCCCTGCTTTCAGTAGTGAGCATTTTCTGGGTGTAGTTGTCACTTACTGCCATTTTGTCACCACGGCAGACTGCATAACAAAGCTCTGGGCCTGCAGGAGATAACATAAGACCAAGTAAAGACCCATCTGGAAGAGTATACTTTCCTAAAGGACCAGAGCTTTAGTCATATCATCTAGCATACAGCGAACAAGAAAGGGAGTAGCACAGCTCTAGAACAACCAGTCAGGTAAGCGACTGTTAGACATTGTGTTAGCTCACTACCCACGAGAATGTTTACTTGCACAGAGACATAGGGGTTCATTTACTAAAGAAAAACAGGCAGCTCACTTTTCAAGGGGGTTTTCCCTTAGATGGGAATAAGGTGATGTTCTGCTAACTTCCATCATCCAATCATGTGCAAGCAAAAATACTGTTTTATTACTTTCCTTCACTTGTTTGGGTATTTTTTGCAAAGTACATTTTCATTTATTAAGCTGTGGAAAAATTCCCTTGCAAAGAGAGAATTCCCTTGGAAAGTGAACAGCCTATTTGCCTATAGTAAATCAACCCTGAGCCATTAAGGAGGTTGAGTCTTATTGGAGGTTGAGTCGCCAATCGTTTGTGACCTCTTCTGCTTCCAGATCACTGACAGGATCAGAGATGTTAGATCTATTAGGCTGCAATGGCACAAGGACACAAATCTATCTCCTCAGTACTAAATGCATCTTCACATCATTTAAAACTAAAGCGAACATGTTGGGACATATGTTAACTGTCATTGCCAAGATTCCTACCCAATGCTGGAGGCTACCTGCCAGTAGTGTTAGTACCAGGGCAACATATGTGCTTGATGCTGTACATTTCTTCCAGGAGTTGTGGAATGGTAGATTAGAAGTCTCCGCTGTGCCTTCCTAATAGGTTTTTAACTTTTTGGAAAATCAATGGGAGAACTGGACACTATTTTCCTATTTCTCACTGAGAAGAGGTAAGAAAGTAGTAACCATGTGTGTGCTTCTTCAGGCAAATTGTACAATAATCAGTGGCAAGTCCTGACACGAATGCGAATGGCAGATGCCCCCCTGTTTGTATTTCTAGAGGAAACAGCATTTCATCTGTAGCCAGATTTAGTAAACAGTGGTATGAACCCTTTCAGTTTATAATGTGGCCAAGAAACGTAAATGCGAGAGGCTAATTGAGTGCTATTGCTAAAGTTTGAAGGAATTACAGATATTCTTGCCCTAATCTTACACTTGCCCCTGATTGAAGAACCAGCCCACAACAGAATTTTAGCTTTAACTGTAGGATGGGGGAGATGTCCCTGCTAGGGTTATTGATAGCACTCGATACCTAGGCACCCTACCCAAAATAAAAATAAAAATGTTTTGGGTGGAGTTCAAAGTGAACCTGTCAACCTCCTATCCAACCACTATAACATAATGCAGTTTCAGCACCATAATATCTCCCAGCAACCCCATCATAATAATGTGCTCCTTTATTATTACCATAATAATATATCCCACCATCCACACTATAATAGCTACCTCAACCACCAGCAACATATCTTCTTGCACTATAATAAAATCACAACCATAATCATTATGGTACAAGCATCAACACAATAATAATATTCCCCACCATCCCCACCATATTATTGTTATACCCATCATCAGCACTATAAAAATATGCCTCACCATCTGCACCATAAAAATGTTTTACAGCACTATAATAATATCCACCACCAGAACCATAATAATATTGCTGATCAATGTAATAATATCTTCCAGCAGCACCCCTATAATAAACGCCCTGTACTTTTACAGTAATATCCCTGTCATTAGAACAAAAAAAAACATTCCATGACATCAACAAATTAATAATATCCTCCAGTACTATAATAATATTTGCACCATCAGCACTATCATAATTTCCCCCAGCAATAGCACAATAACAATATCCCCACCATCTGCTCCATATCCCTATGCAACTTGAAGCAGCTGAATCCAGGTCAGACGCAACCTAAAGAACTCATTTAGTAACTGAAAGGCAAAGCAAAGCAACTCAGGAGCACCTGAACATGTACTGCATTTGACTCACTTCTCATGTCTGATGAGGATGAATAATACCCTCCAACAGTACTATATTAACATCCTTCACCATGACAATATTATCCTGCACGACCACCATCATATACTATTACCCACCGCTATATCAATATCCTCCAACAATGGCATCGTTATTAAATCTCCCACTATCATAATAATATCCCCACCAGAATCACCACCACTATCATCAACAGAATTATAATACTATACCCCCACACCATATCCATAACCCCCAGCACAGACACCATAATAAAATCCCCAGCACCCCGATAATATCCTCCACCACCAGCATAATAATACCATTCCCCATGGCCATATCAATATCCTCCAGCATTGGCACCATGATTAAATCCCCACAACCATAATAATACCCCCCACCAGCAGCACCTTAATATTTCCCACTACTATAACAATATACTCCAGCATAAAGTTAGTTCTCTAAACTACAGAGAGTTAAAGCAGAACTATGGGATCAGTGCTTTTCCCCATAGTTCTCCTCAGGGTCACGGGAGGACACAAACTAGCTATAGCTCGCGGTATACTGAGACCCCCGCAGCCGGGACGTTCTCCTTTAAAAAATAACAAATCATATGCAGAACATGTTAGCATAGTATCATTTATTTATTTGTATTAAATAGTAAAAACAAACTTACCCACCAATTCCAACAATTAGTGTTTTCATGGCTTGCGGTTCCTTTATATTCTTTCTGTGATAGAAAGCATGCTATGTATAGAAACTCATACATATTTCAAACAAATGTCCAGATTTTGCATACATGATCCTAGGTCAGTGATGCAAAAACTAAAAAAGACTTTGGATCAACGTGGAGGTCAAACAGCTAACTTTTTTTTCAAGGAAACATCAGAAATAGCAGCCTCCATTTTTCCTCAGTACAGATTTCCTTTAAACAGTGATATTGGATTAACATAGTACTTGTAAGAATTCAACACTTTAGTGAAGTAATAAAATTCAATTATTATCATTTAAAATGAGAGCAGTGGTCACACTGACTGATGTGCCTGCCCACCACCTGTCACTCTCTGCCTGGTGCCATCTACTGCCCATCTATCAATACCTCCAGTATAAAGAAGAATCTCTCTGTCTGCTGAAGGCCTTCAGTGCACTGCAAGTTTTACAAGTTCTTGGCATCACTCTTACCCAACTCAAATGTCTCTCAAAATGCTTTCTCTACTCTAAGCTTGTCTCATACAGTAACAATTCTGCCCACTTTTCTTCATTCTCTATTCATTTTCTCAGTCTCCACCCAAAACACCTATCTATTGTTATGTGCTACCTTTTCCTGTCTTGGTTTTTCTTTTTACTATAAATAGAACTTCTGTATCTCCTTTAGTATTGCTACCCTTTTCTTCTACCCTAAAATATCTGTTCTTCTTTCCTGAACCACCATACAACTGTCATAGCTGCTGTCATGTCTCTCACCCTAACCTGAAAACATTTGTTTGTCCTGGGGTCTCTTTCATTAGAAAACCTGCCTACCTTGGGGTACCTATCTCACCCTGGTGTCTAGAGCTGCAGCTAACGATTATTTTTAAAATCGATTAGCCGATTATTAAGTTCGATTAATCGGTTAATCGGATAAAATAAAATACATTTTTAAAAATGGCTCCAGTGATGGGACTACGAGTTTGTATTGAGATTGTAGTCCATCACAGGAGCAAGCTTGGAGCGGTGGAAGTAAAAAAAAAAGTGCGGTGTGCAATATAGTGAAATGAAAAGTGTAAAATTATAGAGCAATGAATGCAGAATGGCACCGGCTATAGAGGACTACAAAACCCAGCAATAGTACATGATACAGCACAATGCAGAATACCACCAGCTATAGAGGAATACAATAAATCCCAGCAAAGGTACATTATAGCTGGCGGTATTCTGCATTGCGCTGTATAATGTACTATTGCTGGGTTTTGTAGTCCTCTAAAGCTAGTGGTATTCGGCATTGCACCACTGTATAATGTATTATTGCTGAGTTTTGTAGTCCTCTATAGCTGGTGGTATTCCGCATTGCGCTGTATAATGTATTATTGCTGGGATTTGTAGTCCTCTATACAGCGCAATGCAGAATACCACCAGCTATATGGAAATACAACAAATCTCAGCAATACATTATACATAGAGTGTATAATGTATTGCTGGGATTTGTATTTCTCTATAGCTGATGGTACATTGCTCTGTATAATATATATATCAGCTATAGAGGAATACAAATCCCAGCAATACATTATAGAGCACCATGTGTGGGAAAGTGCCGGCTTACCTAAGCAGTCTTCCAGCAACTTGCTTCTGAGATCGGGCCTGTCTATCGGCGGCTGTCATCCGCCAACACCTGCACTTCCTTACTTCTCCCCGCGTCCCTGTTCCGATCGTGGATGTGGGCGGGCTGTGAGGCGGGGAGGAGGTGCGGTGCGTGGATGCGGGCGGGCCTGGCAGCGGCGAGCGTGAGGTGGGGAGGAGGTGCGGCGCACAGCGTGTGTGGAGCTGTGAACAGGGCCAACTAATTGGAAGCCGATTAATCGATGATGGAAAAAGTTGACAACTTTTTCAATAATCGATTATAATCGATTATGTCGATTAGTTGTTGCAGCCCTACTGGTGTCTCTTACTTGTTTTTTTTTCTTTCAGGTCTGTCTTTAACACTGTCATACTTGAATGACGCTGTTCACTTCCTACAGTCTCAAAATAATTTCTGTTTTACCATAAACAGTATGAACCTCGTATACAGAGCCCTGTTACTAGGGCCCCACTTAAAAGGTGCACTCTTAGTACATTTCTTTTACCTGCAATAACTGGGGCTAAATGCCTCCCAACTTTTAAACCTTTTCACAGCCTCTATCTCCTTTTACCTGGCAGTACTGTCCATTAATTACTTAACGGTTGCTGGGACACTGTTATAAGACACTGTTCACCATCCTTCAACACTCAACAGCTGTCTTGAGCTGCCTAACTGCACCCCAAACTGGCAATGCTGGAAGTGCCTGCTACATAAATAAAATCCCCACAACACCAAGGACCCCTGAAACATCCTTCTGACAAATAAATGTATGCCAGTTCGGGTATGCCTGGTACATGTCAAATTAAAGTAGAGATAAATGCAATTACTAAAATATAATGTTAATGTAATTTCAAAAGCTGACTAAGCTGCATCATATGAAATTTTTGTTTTTGGGTATAGATACACTTTAGTACAAGTTTATGATTGTTAAGAACGCATAGAGTGCATCCCGTTTAGGCATGCTGTCTATGTGAAAAAGGAACTCCATAATGAAGTTCACTTTTTTCAATGAACTTGTCCTACCACTCAGGCCCACCTCGGCCCTAGAAAACATAAAATTCCTAACTTACACTGCCAGGGCTGGAGAGTGGCCACGTGATGTTTTTCCAGCTTTCTCCAGTGCTGTTCATTACCCACCATACTCCTATCTTTGTTTACGTGTGCTGAGCTCCAGAGAAAGTAATGGTGCTACTTTGTGCCCACCAATGTTTTGTGCTTTACCACGACAGTAGAAGTGATTTTTTTCTGAAGATATGGGTAAACAATTTAACAGCCTTTGAACGTGGGATGATTGTTGGCGCTCGGAGCCATGGAGCGAGTATCAGCAAAACCGCAGAATTCGTTAAATGTTCAAGAGGGGTTAATTGTTAAAATGTTTAAAGACTGGATTGTCAGCCAAAAATCTGGGCCTGAACGTGCAAATTGTGACCGTCAGCGACTAGTCAATGTTAGGGCAGAACGGAGAGTGGCAAGACTGGTACAAGACAACAGAAGGGCAACAGTGCAGTGTCAGATTCCTCGCATCACCTTTCAACATCTTGTGGAGTCACGAGGCGGCCCAACGAAGTCATCTCGTGGAGTTATCTCATGGCCCAATGAAGTACTGATGGGTTGTCATAATAATCTGGCCACTCAGTGTACATACGTAAGAGCTTCCAATCAATTGCTGAGTCAATAGTGTTACACATATATAAACAGAGACTGTTTAATTCAGATAAAGACACATTTCACTCCCATCAGTTCTCTTCCTAACAAGACTATCACGTGTAGGACATTTCCCTCACCGGAAATGAGACATGTTAACAGTATTATACCTAAACCAATCAATTAATCAACAAATTCTTTACCTAAAGGAAAATTACTCATAAATACATATTCTGGGTTATTATAATCCTAACTAGGGATGCACCGATATATCGGCCGCCGAAACATATCGGCCGAAAATGGCACTTTTGGCATAATGCCGAAAGACCATGTTTCGGCCGATACATCGGCGCATCCCTGGTTTCTTTTCTCCCCGCTGGGCGCTGCTCTGTGTCCCAGCGGGGAGAAAAGAAAGTGACAGCCGGCCGAGCGCTGCAGGACGAGAGCGCTATGAGCGGCCGGCGTCTCCCCCCACATCAGTTAGCCGCCTATCACAGTCCGGCAGAGCGGTGTGGGGGCGTAGACAGCCAGCGCTGTCACAGGAGGCTGAGCTCTCCTCCCTGCTCCGCTCGATCAGCCTCCTGTGACAGCGTGTCAGAGAGGAGAGCGAGCACAAACACTCAGCGATCAGTGATCGCTGAGTGTTTGTACATAATTGAGGATATGGTATGTTAACTATATCCTCAATTATGAATGAATGGGAGCGATCTGCATCACCTCATGTTCATTCATAGTTGTAGGTATAGTAAACATACCATGTCCTCATGTTATCAATGAACAGGAACCCTCATTCCTGTTCATTGATAACAGGGGACACAGTAAAAGAGATTGAGGACTTTCTGTCCTAAATCTCTTTTTCTATTTTAAAAGGGAAACAATGCAGGCGTCAGGAGTAGGTAAAGCACAAACTAGTATATAGAAGCCAGTTGTCATGTGCCCTAAGTGCCCCGCGCTTGCAATGTCCCTGCGAGGACGGCAGTTCTGCCTGTTGTTTTCAAGGATATACAGTATATACCCATGCATGCCCACCATTTTAAATCTTAAAAATGTATTCAAGTAACCTAACTGCATTCAAGTAACCTAACTGTCCTTCCAGAAGGAAGGACAGTGTCGGCACCAATTCAGAGATGATTTGAGGATCTACAGCTGAGTGATACACAAATAAGGTACATTTTTAATTAATAGTTAGGGTACTTAAATGCATTTTTAAGATTTAAAATGGTGGGCATGCATGGGTATATACTGTATTTTCTTGAAAACAACAGTGGAACTGCCGTCCTCGCAGGGACATCGCAAGCGCAGGGCACTTAGGGCACATGACCGCTGCCTTCTATACACTAGTTTGTGCTTTACCTACTCCTGACGCCTGCATTATATATACTGTTTTGTACACCACATATTCCTGACTCCTGCATTCTGGTATGCATTTTTAAGGTTTAACTCCTGAATTTAGTGTCAATTTAAAACACAATCATTGCAGACCCTGCATATGCAATGGGAATTTATGGCTATTCCACACGTGCACATAACTGCATGTGAGAGCAAAGTCTAAAAAACATTAACACAAACCAATAAGATTATTTGCATTAAGCAGGTCACATTCACATAAAGCAACTTGAAATAGAGTACAAATTATCTTAATATGACAAAGAGCAAAGCTTACGGTCTCGTGTTGTGCACTGGAGATTCACATTATTTCTATTTTCCTTGTGAGAAGCCTTCTGCACGTCTCTGGCAGCTAATTGTAAGTGGGCAGGACGAGTAGTCTTGGATTGCTGAAGTTACAAGTCACGTGGTACTATAAAAGGTAGTCACATAGTTAGTCAAGTTAAAAAAATACACGATTTCAACAGAAACAATGAATAGATAAATTAAAAACCTCAGTAGGAGATTTTTTCAATTGTAAAGCAAAAAAGAAAAACAATCAAAACGTGCAGCTATCTTTCTTCTCTGGTGTGATTCTTCCAGCATAGTGGAGGTAGTGTAAACTTTGTTCAGAATGAACTGTGCTTTGGCACTCAAGGCGATCATATCAGTACTCCCCCTGTCCTTTCAAACTCCAATGTGCAGAGCTTGCATAAAAAAATGCTGAGTACTACCCTCAGCAGCTGAATATTTGATCTACTTCCCCAATGGCAGTTTAATGAACTTTGTTTCATTGTTCTTTTCTCACAAGCAAATTTATACAAATGAACTGAAAATGTGTTTGCAGCTACAATCTTTTGACAAGTTTACACAGTACTATCAGTGATACCTGATTTGCATGGATGGTGGATGGCTGAGCTGCACCATGTACATTTTAGGTGCATGCCACATGGTCAGATAAGTCACCTTTGCTAAAAAAAAAAAAAAAGAGTTAATTTCTATCTTTTTCTGTCCCTCTGTTCTTTTCATCAGCCTTAGCCTGACAGGTCACAAGTAGGGTGTTGACGCGCAATGATGTGCATTTTACGTACATTGACATGCAATGCAAAGTGTGTTACAGAGTGCGTCATTTTTAAAAAAAATAGCAATAAGAAACCCATAAAGGGGAAATCAAAAAAGTATCTTTTTTAAAGCGATTTTCACCCAAGCAGAAAATATGGTGAAATTAGAGGATCATTTCCCCAAAGTCTCTCTGCTCATCCCTAGTCACCAGCTGCTCTGCTTAGGTTTTCATAAGAGGAGACACAGGTGAATCAGTAAAAATAACTTCTACCAGACAGAATAGATGGGTAACGGGAGGTTATTACAGCAGAGCTCCAATTGTACAATACACAGAAAACAGGATGGGTGAGGTGGGACACTATAAGTATTTCAAGGATGCTGCACACTAGGAGGTAGATCAGGAAGCACTTTTTGTCTGTATTCATGAATACAGATGACTCCTGGACACTGTGTACACTGCAAAGAGCAGAGGGTCTAACTGTATAGTACAGCATAGGGGCTAAGGTTTTCAAATACACAGAATCTGGTATAACAATACGTGTGCTGATACAACTGTAGTGTGAAAAAATGACACAATGCATAGTCATAGTTAATATTTATATTAATGTGAAGCGAGAATTTATATAGTTAATTTCCCTATGCATTACTAGCATATTGTCAGTTTAACTGGTTAATATACTGCCATCTTGTGGGCATTTTGGTTATTGCACCATATTTTTCTGTGTTCCCTCCCCTTGTGTGTGATGTACTTCCCTTCTTCTTCATTGTCTTGTGGCATCAAAATGGCTGCTTGTCTCATGGCCACATGTTAATATGCTCGCATGGGGGGAAACATTACCACGTTTCGACCTGCAAATACCATCTGTTCAATCATCTTCTGCATCCTGTTGTCTGCTGTAACCTGCTGCATTCAATAAAGATCCATCTTCGTGGATGAAAAGGTATTTGGTGATTTCAACTATCTGATAAGGATTGTCCGCGGTGATTATATCTGCTTATACAGGCCAGGCATAGAGGTCTCAGCAAGGGATAAATCGCTAATACAACAATCGGAGTCACAATAATAAGTATGGTAGAAAGTCTAGTACCATCCCAAACCATGTTCTATGTCTTATCCAACAATATATTCTCAGATTTATTTGGAATGACAGTAGGCCAAGGGTTGCAAGGAAAGTCCTCTTGCAGCAGAAACACTGGGGTGGAGTGGATTCATGCAGTTCTGCAAACATTTATCTAATATCTTGTAGTCCAAATTTTATAATTAGCGGTTTATGATATGAACCCTTGTGCTCAACGCTGGCTCAGTGTAAAGGTGTCCGAGGTGGCCACCATATTAGTGGATAAGCTCATTTGGACAATCCTGAATCTTAGAAAACATGCAAAAACTCCCATCACAAAGCACTCCCTGAAACAAGCAGAGCACAAAGTATTCAGACAAACTCAAACCTTCTTAGTCTTCACTTGCAACAATTGTGCACAACTCATCATTCTTCCTGGGCTTCAAACCACAAAGATTATACCCTTTGTGTAAGATAAATACAAAATACCCCGAATGAAACTTTCAATGTTATACGAGTTGTTGGAGACGTGGGCATGCTTCAGGAGACAGTCAAAGACTAAAAACAGAATACATGAGACTGCTAGGGATCACTGCTGTAATAGACCTTTTTCAAATTCCCCTAAGAAATACTTGTGACACATTCTAAATTTCTCTCAGCAAGACTCATTAAACAAAAATCAGAGGAAAAAAAAACCATAAAAAGAGAAAAAGGAATAGACAGCGCAGACAGGGGAAAGATAGTTTTAATAAAATCAACCAAGCCCGAAGGCCACCTTCAATGATCAAATACTTTCTGCAGTAATTTCTGCAGTGTTTTGGGCCCATGGATCACACACTACTTACAGGCCACTCTCTACTAACAATTTAAATGTCATCCTTATTGGATAAATATATTCCGCTTTACCTTCAATGGAGCCTGCCTTCTCTGAACCCCTCCCTCCCATTTTTTTCTCTACACCTTTTTCCTCTTAACCACCCTTCACTCTTACTTGTCTTCTTCTTCCTTTCCTCTTTCACTCTCCCCCTCTTCCCTTCCTTTTTCGCTTACAACCACACCACCCTTGCGCACCCTAGCCAATGCACTATATCTACCTCACACCTTTTCCCCCCTTTCCTCCTCATACACAGATGCAACATTCTGAAGACCTATATAGGCAGTACTCCGCATGAGCCTTACCCACCTCCCATATGTTACGGTACTGCATTTTCTCCTAGGTTATAATTGATAATGTCTGAATGTTGTCAGTCATGTGTTTAAGTATCATTGTTCACCTACTTACAATAAATCTATTGTGACTTGTTATATGACTGCCTAAAAGAGAAAGAATAAAAACTATTTAAATGGAAGTAAATTAAGCCATTTAACTATTAGAACCCAGTCCAAAGTATATTTTCCCTTCAATGGCCTGAGTAAGAACCTAGGTAAGGAAAACTCAGATGGCGGTCTGCAGGGATCGCAAGGGTGGCACAATAAGTACCAAAAGGCCACATTCAGTCCCTGGGCTGCTGTTTTGGAACCGGGGACTTAGATGGTACATGGCCACCCAGAAGTTAACAAAATCTGTGGAAGGGGCTTCAGCTAATTGTTTTTGAGGATGTAAGTAGGTGGTACTTTTAAACATATTTGGTAGTATTTCCCATAACTAAGACTGATGTGGTGCAGTGTGCACAAATTAATGTACACAAAGCCACTGCTCGTTTAGCACAAATGATCTCGGCGATGCTGCCGAGATCACTTGTAATACGCCTGCTGGTCTGCCGCCCCTATGGTCTGCCCCCACCACCGACTGCCTCTCTCCCTGCCAGCTACCTCTCTCTCCGCTGACCGCCTCCCTCCCTGCAGTGGTTTTCGGGGGTTCCCCACTCTTCTGGGGGACCCGGGACCAGGGCAAAGCAGTTAGGATGGAGAGCGGGGAGTAGAGCGGAGAACATCTGTTCTTAGATCTGCTCTGTGTTAACAGTGAGACAGGAAGACTGTACTCACAGCCTGCCTGTCTCAGCTTGCACAGGAGAACCAGCACAGTGCTGTGCTAGAACTTCTGTATTGGAGGTGACAGGTTCAATACCTGTCACCTCCAAATGCTATCACACAGGGAATTCTTATCCCCTGTGTGATAGCAAAAAAGTTAAGTGAAATAAAAGTAAAAAATAATAAAATCAATAAGAATGATAAAAAATAAAGTAAAAGATAAATTAAAAAAAATTAAAATGTAAAAAAAATAGAAATTAAAAAAATAAAGTGATAAAGTAAAAAATAATACATTTAAAAAAAATGAAATGTTTCAATGTTTGAATATGTGCGTTTCCCTATTTCGCTTAAGGCAGTGATGCTGAACATTTTTTAAGCCCCAGAGCCCAAACTAAAAACACAATACCAAACTTATTTTCAATGTTGGAACGTTCAAATTAATAAATTGATTTTACGTTGCAGTTTGGGGACTCTGGCTCGAAAACGTTAGCCATCACTGTTCTAGGGTGTACCAGTGCTTGGCACCTGGCAGACCTGGGCCCACCTAACCAGTTCCCTGCGCTATACCTGAATGCCCCCCACCACCGCCACATTCTTCTCTATTGCGACCACTCCTCTTTCTTCTACTTTCAGATTCATCGCAAAGATAATTTAATTTTAAATGTAATTAATTTTTTTTTTATTGTCAAACACAGGTTATTAAGGAATCACTTTTCACATTTTACCAAGGGCTCAAGTATGTGCACTGGATGAATGAACATTTAGGGATACTCTAGTTATGATTCCACAGATTTCTGAATTGGAACACTGTTCTCATATCTTACACATAGAACATTACTAGCTATAGCCTTGAGCAGACCATTACATCCGTGACATTTTATCAAGAATTTTCTATATTATATATTACTTCCATGTTTCGGCCGATACATCGGCGCATCCCTGGTTTCTTTTCTCCCCGCTGGGCGCTGCTCTGTGTCCCAGCGGGGAGAAAAGAAAGTGACAGCCGGCCGAGCGCTGCAGGACGAGAGCGCTATGAGCGGCCGGCGTCTCCCCCCACATCAGTTAGCCGCCTATCACAGTCCGGCAGAGCGGTGTGGGGGCGTAGACAGCCAGCGCTGTCACAGGAGGCTGAGCTCTCCTCCCTGCTCCGCTCGATCAGCCTCCTGTGACAGCGTGTCAGAGAGGAGAGCGAGCACAAACACTCAGCGATCAGT